AAGCACTTGGCTTCGAACGGATTTAGATGCAATCTAGAAGCCGCTCCATTAGTGAGTCCAAAAACACTTGCAGGCTCGGAGCTTTCCGGGATCTACGCACTAGAACCATGGGCGTAATGGAGTTCGAACAAAGGACCCGATCCTGAGGACGGTGAGTGGAGATAAATTCACTCTTCGGTTAAACTAGCCTATACCTGGGTCGAGGTGGCACGACCCCGGGAGGTCCATGAGACTGGGCAATATTTAGCGGCAAGGGGTCCTCTAGGACTACCTCGGCCCTTTGGGATGATTGGGGATCATTGGTTAGGTGTGGCTAAGAAGAAGGGTTCGCCGAGAGGTTGAACTCCTCTTCGGAGTTTTTCTCATCCTCGGAGAGGTCACCTTCTCGGACAAGGTGGTTAGAGAGAATATTCCCCATGTGCCTTGCACATGTGCTCTATCCTACATCATGAGGTGTCTATAAATAGCACCCACCCATAATTTTACAAGAGATGGATTTTAGAGAGATAACTCGTGGGAAAGAATTAATTTCCCTTCTCCATTATCTACCTTGAGAGTGAAAGTGGGAGATCCATGAGAGAGTCTTGCCATTATTTTCTCTCTAGCTACTTTGCCTTCTTCTTCACCCAATTTCTTATCTCCATCATCTCCTTTCTTTTGTGTTCTTAGTTGAAACTATTGAAGAATCTAAGCCTCTCACAACTTCTAAAGGAATTCGAGTCTTCTTCAAAGATCTTCGAATATTCCAACAACGTTCACGAACCCTCTCATACATAGTTTAAATGTGACATTTTATTTTATTAACTTTTTGACTTATTTTATCTTTTTATGACTAAAATAATCAAAAAATTAGGCTTTTTAGCATGCCAAACGAAGAGATAATTTATTTTATTTTATTGGTTTACTTTTTTATTTTAGTTTATTTGAAAATAGGAAGTGATTGAGACTCCCTCCAATCACCACCCCCACCAACCCCCACACACACGTGGCGGATGGTGATTGGAGGAGAAGAAAAAAAAAACTGGCCAATTAGAGAGAGAGGGGGTCAAGGGGGTGGGGGGAAAAGGGGGTCCGGATCATTTTTCATTTGGAAATATTTGTTTACTTTTTATTTTAAGATAAAATTTTATTGCACTTCTAAAATTATTCTTTATAAATTATAATAAATGCATTTTAAAATTCAAATAGAAGGACATTGGTAGAAAAATATTTCAAAATTTGAATTAAAATATAATAATTACATATCTCCTCAACAAGTTGAATTTTTATAGTAGACAGATAAATTGGGACGGAGAAAATATTAAATTATATAGGTAGATATTAACAAATATCTTTAGTACATTCTTTGATATTGAAGTTAATAAAAAGTGTTTTAAAAATAAGTAAAAAATAAAAAAATATTTTAAATTTAGTATAAAATGTTTGAATTTAATAAAACATCACGTATAAATACATTAAGATTAAATTATTCAATAATTTTGAAATATTATGTGATATTGTCTATTTAATATTCCAAATCAATCATGCAGTGAAAAAATTTATGAATAAAACATACTAATTTATTTTTATTAAGTAATAAATGATGACTTATTTAACGCGTGTTATGCTTTTTTATTTTGAAAAACTTAGGAGGCAATCTTATTTTACATTTTACAAATATCATGAAATTTAGAGGTGCAAATGTAACTCCTTAAGTTTATATATTCACTCAATACGTGGCCCCGAAAGAGCCACCTCCTATAATATTTGTTAACTCCTTATGCGTGTGTCAATTTCTGACCACACTGCCAAACAGGTACTTAACTGGAGAACACCGGCAGAATAGATTAAGCCCGAACAATCTGTCACAGAAAGAAAAGAATTCGACGATGGTTCGTCCACCCGGGGGCACTCCGACGATCAAGTTAGTTATCTCTCGAAGATAGCAAAAGTGCTTAACTCACTATTCAGAATACAAAAAGCGTACCTTAGACCCACGAGGGTGCCTCTCTTTTATTGCCAACGCTGACCTAATCCCAATAGAAGCCTAACTTCAATGGTCTCTGGATTACTGCTAATCTTGGACTCCCAGTAGGATTGGGATAAACTCTCTAAAAGTCTTATCTTTATCCAAACTGAAGTCCTCATTTATTCTAGGATTCATGTCCCCTATTCGCTTATCCCAGATTCCGGTATCTTCGCAGATAACCTCGGCCTATCCAAGATCATCTCGGCGTCATGACCAGGACATGTGGTACCTCGGCTGGCACTTTGGTGCCACCTCGGCCACGTGTTGTCACTCAAAAATTATGTCTCCACAACTGCCCCCTAGGTTCTATTACCTCGGCATCCTGAGGTGATGGAACCTATATCGTTTCCTCTATTTATCACGCCGGCTAAGCTTGCCTTGTCCTTCATTACCGAGGTCACCATTCATCGGCTCAATACCACCAAGACTTAGTCTATTTTCATCAATGCTTCAGAACCAATAACCAAGTTTGTTCAAATTTCCTAGCCGAGATCGTCCTCCTAGCCGAGGTCCTGCTCCATTAAATCAAGAACTCCAAGAGTTTCAACACGCGTATAAGTTGTCACGCACAGTATTTCAACCGTTTCAGCCACGCGTTCTTCCTCCACTAGATCGTACTTGACACACGCCATTAAGTCGCATCGCTCATGCGTGTGCCGTCTGACAAGCACGTCACCCTAGGCACATTGATTGTAGTTTTGCCACCATTTTATGGTTTTGATCAAAATCACCTCTCTCTCTCTCCGTCTTTTCACTTTTGCATCTTCGTTCTTGTTCAAACTTTCTCTCTCAAACCCTCCGTTGTTGCTTTTGCGAAGCTTTCTGCAACCAGTTTCACTCTCCCTCTCCGGCGAGGCTTTCACTGCATTTCTTTGCTCACTGCCTCCGTCTGACACCGGCGCATTTCACACCGGCCTCTTTCTTCTTGGTAAGCCACTGCTCCTCTTATTTCAATTTTTTGTTTTACTCCAAAGAACTTCACTGCTGTATTCGCTGCATTTGCGTACTTGCTCATGTCTTTGATCGTTAATTTGTATCTTGAATTCCACCATGTATTGAGCATGTTTGTTTCATGATTCCGTTTTTGCCCAATCCATTCTTGAGTATAAACACACTGCTTACATATTTTTTGATTTTTGCCACTATGTTCTTGATAGTTCATCACCATTCTTGATTCTGAATCACTGTTCTTGTTTTTGTTTTCTGTGTCTTTTTTCCAGATTCTTGCATTCAGTCCTTGTTTACATAGACATAGGTTTTGGGATTTGTTGTAGAACTCACGAATTTTTAGAAAAAAATTGGAACGAATTCCCCTTAGATCTTTCAGAAAAATTTGCCCCAACACACTTGTAGTTTCTAGCTGAGGTCCCTCAAACCCCTGTAGAACACTTCCTTCTGAAATCCATTACTTTCCCCTTAAGTCGACATCATGGGTATGTGGAGGTATAGGGTAGACACCCCAACCAAGTTAGAATATTTCAGGCAAGAGTTTTCCATCCCTGCCAGCGTTCATCTCAGGTTGGCAAGGGAGGAGGACTCCATCATGCCTAGCAAGAACTTTATGCCCTTCCCTGTCGTAGCCTTCACAGAGTGTGGACTCAGGTTTCCACTTAACATCCTTTTCCGAGAAGTCCTCCATTACTACAAATTGAACCTAATGCAGCTCGCCATCAACTCTTACCGAGTTATCAATGGCAACATCCAATACTGTTACACCATGTGTGGCCTCCAGTTAGAAAAAGGCTACATCTACTACCTCAAACCGAGGTCCACCGAATACAAACTTGTTGCCGACCTCCCAGACTCCAACAAGGGAGCCGGGGACGATTACTTCATTGTCTCGGACAACTGGGAGTTCGCTCCAGATGAGGACCTTCACCTCTACCCTCTTAGCTGAACAGTATTCATAGAGGGTAATGGTAAGAATCAAGTGTTACACTCACTTATTTTTCAAGTCTTTAATACTTTGTTCTTTCTATATGTTCTAATGTCTGTTTTTCTTGCAGCTCTTCCACAGCCACCAAAAGACTTCCGTAAGTCTTTCTTCTCCAGCAAGGACTTGAAGAAGCTGTTGGATTTGCCAGTTCAGAGGCAGAGAGCTCCTCTGTTACTCAACTACATCCCGACTTACAAGTCGGTTCTTCCCGACATCCAGAAGAAGAAGAGCAAGTCTCCTCCTTTCGCCACAACTTCACCAGCAACTTCATCAACTCGGCCAGATCAGGGATCAACTTCCGATCCAGCTGAGCAGCCATCGACCTCGGCTCCATATCTGATCCCTCCATCTCAACACAAACGCCGATGTCGAACTGCAATTACTGCCGAGATGGGTCGCAAGAAAACAACTGCAGACAATCTTCTGGCCGACATCCCCGACACTATCAACACTCAACCATCACAATCCCAGCCTCAACCAAAACCAAAGCCCAAAAGACTGAAGAAGGCCCAGCCTAAGGCAACGGTGACTTAAATTGACACTGAGGATATCTTGCCCATTTCAAAATTGGCTGAGAGCGAGAAGACCCCTTGTTTTTTTGGTCTTTTCTCACATGTTTCATTTATTTTATTAAAACAACATATTTTTAGGCTTATTGTAATCACATAATCAGCATGCATGGCCCAATTTAGGCATTATGTAGGTTAGTTTTGCATTACTTTATGTGTTTCTTGTTCTTTTATGCATTAAATTATGTTAGAACCGTTAAACTAGACCTAGGTACATATTTTGTATGATTAGTTGCATGTCTAGGTCATATTTATTTTATCTATTGCATGTAAGACGCATAAAGTGGCATCCATGTAAGTCCTCGTATGCTTGGTTGATAATACTCCAAATCAATCCAAAAAACATATTTTGAGTGATTTTTGTACAAATTCAAAGTTAATTTTTATTTTATTTTTTCTTGGTAGGCATATATTAAATCGAAGACATTAGCAGAGAAAGAAGTGTTGAGCTATAATGAAATTGAAAACAGTTAATTGGAAGTGGTGAGTCTGGCTTGTGCACTAGTGGGAGGAGACATTCTTTTTTCCTACTTTCCTGCTGCTTCTAGTTTAGCTGTAATTATATCACAGCTCACTGGCAATCTCTCATACTATGCCGGCTTAAGATTTCTCCAAGAACTTTTGGGTTCAGTTCCGCTACTACACATTGATGATGTTTGTGAATGGAAAAAGAGTCGTTGAGAGGTAGATTCTTATGCTCTGCCGTGGATCCAACTATACAAGAGATAGCAAATTACTACCAAGAAAACTATCCCCAACTCAAGATAACGCCAGAGTAAGTGATTCTGTCGAACTTCATTGGATGGTGTTTTTTCTTTCTTCAGATTTTCCCCCCCTTGTAACTTGAATTTCAAGCTTATTGGTTAAATTCAAATTGATCAGAGACTAACAATATGAGTTCTTTTTTAGGCTTGTGGGAGGACCGATGAGAGGAAGCAGCTGTGATTCTGTGAAGCTGATGGAAATGGGTTTTCAGTATAAATATGATATGAAGAAGATATTGGATGATAGTGTGGATTCTGGTTTCCGACTAGGAGCTCTCCCGCTTAACTAAATCAATTGGTGACCTATATTAATATATAGTTCAAATCCTTTCACCCACCCATAGCTTTACAAGGGATGGATTTTGGAGATTTTTAACTCTTGGGAAAGAACTAATTTCCCTTCTCCATTATCTACCTTGAGAGTGAAAGTGGGAGATCAATGGGAGAGCCTTGCCATTATTCTATTCTCTAGCCATTTTGCCTTCTTCTTCACCCAATCTCTTATCTCCATCATCTCCTTTCTTTTGTGTTCTTAGTTGAGACTATTGAAGAATCTAAGCCTCTCACAATTTCTAAAGGAATTCGAGTCTTCTTCAAAGATCTTCGAATATTCCAACAACGTTCTTGAACCCTCTCATACATAGTTTAAATGTGACATTTTATTTTATTAACTTTTTGACTTATTTTATCTTTTTATGACTAAAATAATCAAAAAATTAGGCTTTTTAGCATGCCAAACGAAGACATAATTTATTTTATTTTATTGGTTTACTTTTTTATTTTAGTTTATTTGAAAATAGGAAGTGATTGAGACTCCCTCCAATCACCACCCCCACCAACCCCCACACACACGTGGCGGATGGTGATTGGAGGAGAAGAAAAAAAAAACTGGCCAATTAGAGAGAGAGGGGGTCAAGGGGGTGGGGGGAAAAGGGGGTCCGGATCATTTTTCATTTGGAAATATTTGTTTACTTTTTATTTTAAGATAAAATTTTATTGCACTTCTAAAATTATTCTTTATAAATTATAATAAATGCATTTTAAAATTCAAATAGAAGGACATTGGTAGAAAAATATTTCAAAATTTGAATTAAAATATAATAATTACATATCTCCTCAACAAGTTGAATTTTTATAGTAGACAGATAAATTGGGACGGAGAAAATATTAAATTATATAGGTAGATATTAACAAATATCTTTAGTACATTCTTTGATATTGAAGTTAATAAAAAGTGTTTTAAAAATAAGTAAAAAATAAAAAAATATTTTAAATTTAGTATAAAATGTTTGAATTTAATAAAACATCACGTATAAATACATTAAGATTAAATTATTCAATAATTTTGAAATATTATGTGATATTGTCTATTTAATATTCCAAACCAATCATGCAGTGAAAAAATTTATGAATACAACATACTAATTTATTTTTATTAAGTAATAAATGATGACTTATTTAACGCGTGTTATGCTTTTTTATTTTGAAAAACTTAGGAGGCAATCTTATTTTACATTTTACAAATATCATGAAATTTAGAGGTGCAAATGTAACTCCTTAAGTTTATATATTCACTCAATACGTGGCCCCGAAAGAGCCACCTCCTATAATATTTGTTAACTCCTTATGCGTGTGTCAATTTCTGACCACACTGCCAAACAAGTACTCAACTGGAGAACACCGGCAGAATAGAGTAAGCCCGAACAACCTGTCACAGAAAGAAAAGAATTCGACGATGGTTCGTCCACCCGGAGGCACTCCGACGATCAAGTCAGTTATCTCTCGAAGATAGCAAAAGTGCTTAACTCACTATTCAGAATACAAAAAACGTACCTTAGACCCACGAGGGTGCCTCTCTTGTATAGCCAACGCTGACCTAATCCCAATAGAAGCCTAACTTCAATGGTCTCTGGATTACTGCTAATCTTGGACTCCCAGTAGGATTGGGATAAACTCTCTAAAAGTCTTATCTTTATCCAAATTGAAGTCCTCACTTATTCTAGGATTCGTGTCCCCTATTTGCTTATCTCGGATTCCGGTATCTTCGCAGATAACCTCGGCCTATCCGAGATCACCTCGGTGTCATGACCAGGACACGTGGTACCTCGGCTGGCACTTTGGTGCCACCTTGGCCACGTGTTGTCACTCAAAAATTATGTCCCCACAACTGCCCCTAGGTTCTATTACCTCGACATCCTGAGGTGATGGAACCTATATCGTTTCCTCTATTTATCACGCCGGCTAAGCTTGCCTTGTCCTTCATTACCGAGGTCACCATTCATTGGCTCAATACCACCAAGACTTAGTCCATTTTCATCAATGCTTCAGAACCAATAACCAAGTTTGTTCAAATTTCCCAGCCGTGATCATCCCCCTAGCCGAGGTCCTGCTCCATTAAATCAAGAACTCCAAGAGTTTCAACACGCGTATAAGCTGTCACGCATAGTATTTCAACCGTTTCAGCCATGCGTTTTTCCCCCACTGGATTATACTTGACACACGCCATTAAGTTGCATCGTTCATGCGTGTGCCGTCTGACAAGCACGTCACCCTAGGCACATTGATTGTAATTTTGCCGCCATTTTATAGTTTTGATCAAAATCACCTCTCTCTCTCTCTCTCTCTCTCTCTCTCCGTCTTTTCACTTTTGCATCTTCGTTCTTGTTCAAACTTTCTCTCTCAAACCCTCCGTTGCTGCTTTCGCGAAGCTTTCTGCAACCAGTTTCACTCTCCCCCTCTGGCGAGGCTTTCACTGCACTTCTTTGCTCACTGCCTCCATCTGACACCGGCGTATTTCACACCGGCCTCTTCCTTCATGGTAAGCCATTGCTCCTCTTATTTCAAATTTTTGTTTTACTCTAAAGAACTCCACTGCTGTATTCGCTGCATTTGCGTACTTGCTCATGTCTTTGATCGTTAATTTGTATCTTGAATTCCACCATGTATTGAGCATGTTTGTTTCATGATTCCGTTTTTGCCCAATCCATTCTTGATTATACACACACTGGTTACATATTTGTTGATTTTTGCCACTGTGTTCTTGATAGTTCATCACCATTCTTGATTCTGAATCACTGTTCTTGTTTTTGTTTTCTGTGTCTTTTTTCCAGATTCTTGCATTCAGTCCTTGTTTACATAGACTTAGGTTTTGGAATTTGTTGTAGAACTCACGAATTTTTAGGAAAAATTAAAACGAATTCCCCTTAGATCTTTTAGAAAAATTTGCCCCAACACACTTGCAGTTTCTAGCTGAGGTCCCTTAAACCCCTACAAAACACTTCCTTCTGAAATCCATTACTTTCCCCTTAAGCCGACATCATGGGTATGTAGAGGTATAGGGTAGACACCCCAACGAAGTTAGAATATTTAAGGCAAGAGTTTTCCATCCCTGCCGACGTTTATCTCAGGTTGGCAGGGGAGGAGGACTCCATCATGCCTAACGAGAACCTTATGCCCTTCCCTGTCGTAGCCTTCACAGAGTGTGGACTCAGGTTTCCACTTGACATCCTTTTCCGAGAAGCCCTCCATTACTACAAATTGAACCCAATGCAGCTCGCCATCAACTCTTACCGAGTTATCAATGGCAACATCCAATACTGTTACACCATGTGTGGCCTCCAGTTAGAAAAAGGCTACATCTACTACCTCAAACCGAGGTCCACCGAATACAAACTTGTTGCCGACCTCCCAGACTCCAACAAGGGAGCCGGGGACGATTACTTCATTGTCTCGGACAACTGGGAGTTCGCTCCAGATGAGGACCTTCACCTCTACCCTCTTAGCTGAACAGTATTCATAGAGGGTAATGGTAAGAATCAAGTGTTACACTCACTTATTTTTCAAGTCTTTAATACTTTGTTCTTTCTATATGTTCTAATGTCTGTTTTTCTTGCAGCTCTTCCACAGCCGCCAAAAGACTGCTGTAAGTCCTTCCCTAGCAAGGACTTCAAGAAGCTATTGGATCTGCTAGTTCCGAGGTGGAGAACTCCCTTACTGCTCAACTACATCCCAACCTACAAATCCATTTTGCTTGACGTCCCGAAGAAGAAGAACAAGTCTCCTCCTTCCGCTATAACTCACCAGCAACTTCATCACCTCGGCCAGAACAGGGATCAACTTCTGATCTAGCTGAGCGACCATCAACCTCGGCTCCATATCTGATCCCCCCATCTCAATGCAAACGCTGACGCCGAACTGCAATCACTGTCGAGATGAGTCGCAAGAAAACAGTTGCAGATGATCTTCTGGTCGACATCCTCGACACTGTCAACGCTCAACCTTCTCCATCCCATTAATGTTTTATGCTAATTGGAATTTATGTGATTTTATGGTATATTTAATTGAAAATTGATTTGGTATGATTAATTTGGATTAAATAAGCTAAATTATCAAAGTTGGACTTATTTACAAGAATGCCACTTAGTGGACTATTCCATGAGCCATTTGTTTGATTTCCTTATGTTAGCTTTATCACATTTCCTCAGCCATTTGAGTCCAAACCAACTAGAGAGAGAGGTACTTAGGAGAGAATTGTTTCCATCTTGTTTTTGCTTGGAGTCTTGAAGAATTGAAGAGAGAACTGGCAAATTGAACTTCTAGACTTGGAATTGGAGACCTAAGGTAGGACATTTACCTTCTTGTTTGTGAATTCAAGTTAGTTCTTGCATGGTTCATGCTAGATAGGAGCCTAAGGTCATAAATTGGTCTTAAATTGTTGAATTGAAGCTTGAATCATGCATGCATGTGCATCTCTTGAAGTATAGAGTTGTTTTCATGGAAATTATTGCATGCATGCCCATATTTGGGTTATAGTCCATGAATTCATCATGTTTGGGAGTGAATTAACTTATTTGATCATGCTTTGGAAGCTTTGAAGTTGATTAAATTCATGCATGTTGCATGTTCATCATGTTCTTGATGTTTTATTTGAAAATGGTGTTTAATTGACTCACCCTTGGGCCTTGATTTTACAAATTGATCTTCAAAACATGTCATATTATGAGTTTACAAGTGTTTTCCAGAAAATTAGCCCAAAATGATCGAATTTGACACATTAAAGTTGAGTTTTGAGCTTGAGGTTCAAATCTGGAAATTCCAGATTTTGGACTCACGCTCGAACGAGAAACTCCACGCTCGAGCGTACGTCTTGTGTTCATGCAGTCCGCTCGAGCGAGGAAATTGGCACTCGAGTGTGAAATGCGTGTATCCAGTACTTTGCATGTGTTTACAGTCCGCTCGAGCGAGAGAGTTCACGCTCGAGCGAGGACTTGTGTCTCACGCTCGAGCGTGGATCGAGCGCCCGTCGAGCGTGATTTTTCTGCATCC